TAAATTTAATTTAATACTAATTTAATATTAAATAATTTATTAAATTTATATAATATAAATTTAATATATTAGTTTATTTTCTACTATTGCAAGGTAATTTTAATAACTGTATTTGTTACTTAACCTTAAAAAATCATCTTATTTTATAATGTCTTAGAGAAACCACATTCACAAATAAAGAGTCCATAATGTACTATAAACATCACCAAATTGTAAACATGTACATTTACAAGTATGTACTATATGTACATGTATTCGTAAATTTAGATTCCTTTTTTTTCTGTACTATATTAAAAACTAAAATTTATTTGTTTGTAAGCTTAAAATAGATTCTTATTAACCATATATTATTAAAAATGCATTTAAACAGAATACAGAACATAATACAGAACTAAAATAATAATACTGAACTGGAAATGGTTATTTGTGGATTAGCCTAGTGACAAGTAAATTTGACTTACATTGTTTTTTGACTTAAGTCACCTCTCCTAGAACCAATTATCGACGTAAGGCGATGTATACCTGTAATAACATTTCAATTTATTATTATTTTTTAATATTTGAAAATTGAAATAAAATTATAAAACCCTACATTTCATATTGGGATTTATTGTTTAATAAATGTTCAAAAGCCTTTAAAATTCAGCAATATGTTTATTTAATAAATAAATAATTTGTTTATGATTATGCCATGATTGGAATGCATATGTATTACATTCATAATGTTAATGCACCTGAAAATGAGTTTTAAAAAACAAAGCCATTTGTCAAAACATTGTATTTTTATTCATAAAATTATTTTATGAATAATTTTAAGACATGATTTTTTTAAGACAGCAGATTATGACTTTGTTAATCTATTAAAATATAAAATAAGTGATTAACTCTTTTGTCATAGTCTGTTCCAGTTATGACAACCCATAATCTGTGAGGTACTAATTTGTGGTCCCCAGGGCTTTAGTAAAGCAAATTTTATTTATCAGTTTTTCCCTACAATCCTAATCATTAATGAAGAACGTTCAAATTAAAGCAATGAAAAGAATAAACTATATATTACCAGTTTACTTAGTGTTGGTTTAACCTTGAGTAAAAACCTCTCCTCAACAACTCATACTGATGGACATCTTAAAATTGAAACTTATGTTGATAATGAGAGGAACCTAATCTTGAAAAACATTTTATATTACATTTCAGACACCTTGAACTATCAGCATATCATTACTTATTTTTTTCTAAATAACACTAATAAAAATAATATACAGTACTAAATAATTGTATGAAATGACATGAAACTCTAAAATTTAATATTTAATTTTAAAAAATTTGTTTAACATGTGTTAAAGTTTTTTGCAGGTTTAATACAAAGTGAAAACATTTGGGCTAGTGCACCAACTATGAATAATTTACAGAAATTTCAGGTTTGTCAAATTTTCATATCCAGTATTTTAACTATTTATAATTTTTCTAAATGAAGACAAAAAATTTTAAACTTAAAATTCTTTGTCTTCAATTAAATTTCAAATAAATGTATCAAATTGTTTTGATATTTAATCAAAACAATTTGATACATTTATTTGAAATTCTAATTTACTATTTTTTTTTCTTTATAACTGCAGTGAAGTATTGAAAATCTGGACTAACTTAGATGGACCCATCCAGATTTTCAAATATAAATGTAAATTAGTATCCATTTTTTGATGTCAAACATCTACAATAAAATATTTAATGCAAATATACTCTTTTACACATGCATAGTAAATTATTACATGAAATTATTAATGCCTTATATATCTCCTAAAATATACAATCCACAATAAAGTCAATTGAATTCTTGCCTATTACTCCTTTCTTGGTTAATAATTCATATTTTGAATCCCTTATTTATGTGACCAGAGACTCAAAACATGAATTAGTAACCAAGAAAGGAGTAATAGACAAGAATTCAATTGACTTTATTGTGATAATTAAACCAAAAACAAGAATCATAGTCTAAAGATTTCAAATAAATACCCCATATAGTGAGTTTTTTAAAACTTAATTTGTATTTTTTGTTTGATCTAATTCTATACAATATAGTAGCTGTATATCATTTCTTGTTATACTGCTCATTCAGATATATGTCACTTTTTGTCTTCCAAATATAAAACACTTTAGCCAATAATTTAAAAAAAAAATCAATCACAATTAAATTTCTGCTGGCAAATAAATATTATTTGTTTAATTAAAATGCCTCAATGTCCTTTTTCTTACTAAAATATAAATTTTCGTCTATAATTTTGTATCTTCTATTATCAGGACTTATTATACTGGCTTTACAGATAATGCTACAATGTTTTATTTAATATACCTGTATACAGGTATATTAAATAAAATAAAAAATTGTTTTTTGTAAAACTTTGTAGTATTATCTGTAAATCCAGTATAATAAGTCCTGATAATAGAAGATACGAAATTATAGACGAAACTTTATATTTTAGTAAATATTATTTGTTTCCAATCTTTGACACTGAAATCACCATTGTATGAAATATTGTGGCTTACTGCCTTAGTATTAGTGATGGTTTATTAAATTCCTTTGAGATGTGGTGTCTTAGAAGAATGGAAAGAATTAGTTGGATAGATAGAATAACCAATGAGGAGGTTAGGAGTAGATTTGGAATAGAAAGAAACTTGATGGTCAGCATCCAGAGAAGAAAAACAGCATATGCTGGGCATATAATAATAGGATCCTTGGGAACTGATGTAAATTGCATTTCAAGGAATGGTGGAGGGTAGATGGAGAAAGGGAAGACCTAGGCTAATGTGGCAGTACAAAATCAAAAAATGGACTGGTTCAAGCTTTGGAAAAGCCTACAACCATGAAGAGTGGAGAAGAACTGTCCATTAACTGCAACCCTCTGTAAAAGAGGATGCCATGTGAATGAATGATTGAGTACTTACTTATGATGATACACAGATGTGCTTTAATACTTTAAATTTTCAAATGAGATTTATGCAATTCTGAGTAAATATTTGTTTGCGCTGTTTAATGCCATTTTGAGTTTTAAAAATTGATTTTTTAAGATGAGTCTGTCTAGATATTCATGGCTCAAGTGAATGAATTCAAAAATTGGTTAACTTGTGGTGATGATATTTGTTCAGCTCATTTTCCAAACCCCATTTAGTATTAATTAAATATGATGGAGTTAAATCATTTACAAAGTATGCCCATTGAGAGAAGCTTAAAAAATGCATCTTCTCATTTATCTTCCTTTCCCTGCAGAAAGAGGCAGTTTCCAAAGATGGCAACCCAACATGACATGACGGGATAGTTTTCCAGTAAAAGTGAATTAATTAGTTGTAATTTCTTTGAGGGTAGTGTTGCAATATTAACTTTATCCAAAATAAGATTACATATTTATTTTGTTGTACACAATAAAAGCATGTGTATCCACTTATAAATGGAGAATTTTCATGTTTGTTTTGAAAGATTGATTCTGGATTTCCCAATCGTTTTCCATTCCTCAGCTTGATGTTATTAATTAATGAATGTTCTCTGCTTGTAATGTAATTCGTTAATTTATCTAAACAAAAAACTTCAGGATGTACTGTATTCAACAGAATCAGAAATTGTATTGGAATCTAGAGAAATTTTGGTATCATTCCATCACTAATTATAACATTGTATTTACTATATTAAATCCTGCTTTTGAAATAAAAGCACTTTTTATTTAAAAAAAATCTGTTGAACATAAACAATCAAATATTTTCATTATGTATCTCAGTGTTTCCCAACATTTTTGGATTAGCAGCACACTTTGAATTTGACTCTTTAAGCTCTGAAAATTTATTTCTATATATCTGGAGACAAAAATCTTTTTACCTCTCAGGCTACAAGAGAAATTTGTATAGAAAAAGCAGTCAAATTTTCCCTTTAGCTAGTTTCATCTCCGATTAAGGTGATTTTGGCCGATTTCATATTTAAAGAGCAAATAAAATTCCTGCAACACGCCATAATTTTTAAAATAAAAATGTTTAAAGTTTAAAATAAATTGCAATTGATTTTAAAAAATTTTGATAATATGGAAATTAAACTTACCAAGACAACTCACAATTTTACAAATATACAATTAAAATAAAAAGACTGTTTGAAACAATGTGTAAAGAGCTAGTATTGATCTTTAAGCTGGTAAGCCACAACATTTATATAAGCTCCAAAGAGTTGGTACACCAGCATATGCATAGATGTATGCAATTTTTGTGAGTGGTATGCTAATGCTGCAAATTTTGAAACAATTGGCATTTTAGTGAATACCTCCTTCTCTCTTTAATTGGCCAGTGGTAAAAAGATGAAAGATAAATGAAATTTTAAAAAGAGAAAAAAGAGCTAATTCAAAATTTTAAAAATATATTTAATATTTCCACAACACACCTGAGGCACTCCGACAGCATACAGGTTGGGAGNAAGAACAACCGAGACTTTCGAAGGCCAATTTTCATTTGATGAAAATGTTTTAAGTGTTTTAAAAATTTCATTTGATTTTCATTTGATTTTCATTTGATTGAAATTTCATTTGATTTTCATTTGATGAAAATGTTTTAAGTGTTTTAAAAATTCTAGATCTAAAAGAATAAGAACAACCGAGACTTTCGAAGGCCGTGAAGTCCGACCCGAGCAACATCAAATGAGAATGGTTTTGTCAAGGGCTGCAGAAACAGCATCACAACGTCAAGCTCGACTTGCAGCTCTTCTCAATTCTTCAATCCCTATTTTCTCATAAAAATATTCCGTCATCTTGATGGAAAATTTCTAGTTTTAATTAATATAATTTGAAAGAAATAACATGATAAAAATCGTTGCCTGCTCGGAGTGCAATCTCCAAATTGTAAAAAACAAAAATCCTGATATGATGTTCATTTAAGAAAAGTTCATCAAATTAAACGACCTAAGTTTTAAGAAAAATAAATAATTAATTATAATGAAATTTATGATGTCTGCGATAAAAGATTTTCGTTTTTGTATAGTTGAGAAACACAAAAATACAGAAATAAATGCTCATATAAAAGAGATTTTGTAAAAAAAAGAGAGCAATGTTATAAGTAGAAAATTAAGTAACCTGTCATATTGGGTCGAAAACGTTGTTTAATAAACATTTTTCAGCATCAGTTGTTTGATGATTCATTAAGTAGAAAATTAAGACTTCGACGTAACAATACATTTCTTTTTCGTGACTTATTAAAGGCTTGTCTTATTTTTGAACATGAATTACAACTTGACTTTAGAGAAATATCAATTTAGCTCTGAAAATGGTAATTTTCAATTAATTGTAGGCCTATTACTTTTTATTGTGGTTACTGTATATTCATCTTAAATTAACATATTTATTAATATTTACCAATTCGAGTATAGTGCTTAAAAGAAATAATGATTTTTAATTAATGCTTATTCGACAGAATTTAAACACTGGAAAGAAAAATTGGAAAAGTTTATCTGTACCGGTACATGTTTTAGACAGATCTGCTAAATATCGTAAGGACTGTCAGATAAAGAAATGTTATCTATAATTGTCATTGACCTTACGAATATCGAAAGTCTGGGGAAAACATGAAAGTTCCAAAAGAGATATCGTGGAATTTTAAAACCAAATCTTAAACCCTGAAAATACATTTATTGTACAAAGATGTCTTTTGTAAAATATAAATAGAATATTATTTTCAAATTAGCATTAATGTTAATCATTAAAATTAAAAATGAATATTGCAAATGCATGCAAGCCTTTGATATCTTTCGGTGAAGTACTATATGAATACCTGCATACATCATTAGTGTCACATGAGTAAAAAAGTTGGAAAGCACTGCTATACAGTAATTTCTCGTCTCTATTTTTTATTTTATATCGTGTTTTTTATTTTTTGTCTTCAGCCCAGCTAATTGAAACAATGTTAAATTTCCTTTGACTTAATGCATTTTTTAACTTGCATTTTACAGTACTTTTTAATTAACACTTGAGAACTATATTAAAGTTTTATAGACAATTATTTGACTAAAACTTTTAAATTTATCAACGTATAATTTATCATATACAATAATTTAGCAACTCGATTCCTATATTTATATTATTATTTTGGAAGAAGTTTTTAAAAGAAACAAAACGCATTTGGCGTATATTCCAGTAATTGTATATGTAAACGAGTTTAATTAAAAATTTGATTGAAGTAAAAGAAGACAAAGTAGTGTTTATACCCGATAAACAAAGCATATTGGAAGAAAATCGATTGTTTTCATCTAATTTCTTTCAAATTATATTAAAATGGTTTAAGTGAAAGGTATGAAAATAGTAAAAATAGATATATTCTTCGTTCGTATATAATAAAGGTAAAATTTTTTTATAAGTTTCAATATGGATTATTATAGCATGAATTTTGAATTGAATGAAAC